AGTTGCCGATCACACTGTCTGTCTATTTCTACCCCTCAGAGCAATACTGTCTGTACTCACAATGTCCCAGACTGCTAGTTGCCGATCACACTGTCTGTCTATTTCTACCCCTCAGAGCAATACTGTCTGTACTCACAATGTCCCAGACTGCTAGTTGCCGATCACACTGTCTGTCTATTTCTACCCCTCAGAGCAATACTGTCTGTACTCACAATGTCCCAGACTGCTAGTTGCCGATCACACTGTCTGTCTATTTCTACCCCTCAGAGCAATACTGTCTGTACTCACAATGTCCCAGACTGCTAGTTGCCGATCACACTGTCTGTCTATTTCTACCCCTCAGAGCAATACTGTCTGTACTCACAATGTCCCAGACTGCTAGTTGCCGATCACACTGTCTGTCTATTTCTACCCCTCAGAGCAATACTGTCTGTACTCACAATGTCCCAGACTGCTAGTTGCCGATCACACTGTCTGTCTATTTCTACCCCTCAGAGCAATACTGTCTGTACTCACAATGTCCCAGACTGCTAGTTGCCGATCACACTGTCTGTCTATTTCTACCCCTCAGAGCAATACTGTCTGTACTCACAATGTCCCAGACTGCTAGTTGCCGATCACACTGTCTGTCTATTTCTACCCCTCAGAGCAATACTGTCTGTACTCACAATGTCCCAGACTGCTAGTTGCCGATCACACTGTCTGTCTATTTCTACCCCTCAGAGCAATACTGTCTGTACTCACAATGTCCCAGACTGCTAGTTGCCGATCACACTGTCTGTCTATTTCTACCCCTCAGAGCAATACTGTCTGTACTCACAATGTCCCAGACTGCTAGTTGCCGATCACACTGTCTGTCTATTTCTACCCCTCAGAGCAATACTGTCTGTACTCACAATGTCCCAGACTGCTAGTTGCCGATCACACTGTCTGTCTATTTCTACCCCTCAGAGCAATACTGTCTGTACTCACAATGTCCCAGACTGCTAGTTGCCGATCACACTGTCTGTCTATTTCTACCCCTCAGAGCAATACTGTCTGTACTCACAATGTCCCAGACTGCTAGTTGCCGATCACACTGTCTGTCTATTTCTACCCCTCAGAGCAATACTGTCTGTACTCACAATGTCCCAGACTGCTAGTTGCCGATCACACTGTCTGTCTATTTCTACCCCTCAGAGCAATACTGTCTGTACTCACAATGTCCCAGACTGCTAGTTGCCGATCACACTGTCTGTCTATTTCTACCCCTCAGAGCAATACTGTCTGTACTCACAATGTCCCAGACTGCTAGTTGCCGATCACACTGTCTGTCTATTTCTACCCCTCAGAGCAATACTGTCTGTACTCACAATGTCCCAGACTGCTAGTTGCCGATCACACTGTCTGTCTATTTCTACCCCTCAGAGCAATACTGTCTGTACTCACAATGTCCCAGACTGCTAGTTGCCGATCACACTGTCTGTCTATTTCTACCCCTCAGAGCAATACTGTCTGTACTCACAATGTCCCAGACTGCTAGTTGCCGATCACACTGTCTGTCTATTTCTACCCCTCAGAGCAATACTGTCTGTACTCACAATGTCCCAGACTGCTAGTTGCCGGTCACACTGTCTGTCTATTTCTACCCCTCAGAGCAATACTGTCTGTACTCACAATGTCCCAGACTGCTAGTTGCCGATCACACTGTCTGTCTATTTCTACCCCTCAGAGCAATACTGTCTGTACTCACAATGTCCCAGACTGCTAGTTGCCGGTCACACTGTCTGTCTATTTCTACCCCTCAGAGCAATACTGTCTGTACTCACAATGTCCCAGACTGCTAGTTGCCGATCACACTGTCTGTCTATTTCTACCCCTCAGAGCAATACTGTCTGTACTCACAATGTCCCAGACTGCTAGTTGCCGATCACACTGTCTGTCTATTTCTACCCCTCAGAGCAATACTGTCTGTACTCACAATGTCCCAGACTGCTAGTTGCCGATCACACTGTCTGTCTATTTCTACCCCTCAGAGCAATACTGTCTGTACTCACAATGTCCCAGACTGCTAGTTGCCGATCACACTGTCTGTCTATTTCTACCCCTCAGAGCAATACTGTCTGTACTCACAATGTCCCAGACTGCTAGTTGCCGATCACACTGTCTGTCTATTTCTACCCCTCAGAGCAATACTGTCTGTACTCACAATGTCCCAGACTGCTAGTTGCCGATCACACTGTCTGTCTATTTCTACCCCTCAGAGCAATACTGTCTGTACTCACAATGTCCCAGACTGCTAGTTGCCGATCACACTGTCTGTCTATTTCTACCCCTCAGAGCAATACTGTCTGTACTCACAATGTCCCAGACTGCTAGTTGCCGATCACACTGTCTGTCTATTTCTACCCCTCAGAGCAATACTGTCTGTACTCACAATGTCCCAGACTGCTAGTTGCCGATCACACTGTCTGTCTATTTCTACCCCTCAGAGCAATACTGTCTGTACTCACAATGTCCCAGACTGCTAGTTGCCGGTCACACTGTCTGTCTATTTCTACCCCTCAGAGCAATACTGTCTGTACTCACAATGTCCCAGACTGCTAGTTGCCGATCACACTGTCTGTCTATTTCTACCCCTCAGAGCAATACTGTCTGTACTCACAATGTCCCAGACTGCTAGTTGCCGATCACACTGTCTGTCTATTTCTACCCCTCAGAGCAATACTGTCTGTACTCACAATGTCCCAGACTGCTAGTTGCCGATCACACTGTCTGTCTATTTCTACCCCTCAGAGCAATACTGTCTGTACTCACAATGTCCCAGACTGCTAGTTGCCGGTCACACTGTCTGTCTATTTCTACCCCTCAGAGCAATACTGTCTGTACTCACAATGTCCCAGACTGCTAGTTGCCGATCACACTGTCTGTCTATTTCTACCCCTCAGAGCAATACTGTCTGTACTCACAATGTCCCAGACTGCTAGTTGCCGATCACACTGTCTGTCTATTTCTACCCCTCAGAGCAATACTGTCTGTACTCACAATGTCCCAGACTGCTAGTTGCCGATCACACTGTCTGTCTATTTCTACCCCTCAGAGCAATACTGTCTGTACTCACAATGTCCCAGACTGCTAGTTGCCGGTCACACTGTCTGTCTATTTCTACCCCTCAGAGCAATACTGTCTGTACTCACAATGTCCCAGACTGCTAGTTGCCGATCACACTGTCTGTCTATTTCTACCCCTCAGAGCAATACTGTCTGTACTCACAATGTCCCAGACTGCTAGTTGCCGATCACACTGTCTGTCTATTTCTACCCCTCAGAGCAATACTGTCTGTACTCACAATGTCCCAGACTGCTAGTTGCCGATCACACTGTCTGTCTATTTCTACCCCTCAGAGCAATACTGTCTGTACTCACAATGTCCCAGACTGCTAGTTGCCGGTCACACTGTCTGTCTATTTCTACCCCTCAGAGCAATACTGTCTGTACTCACAATGTCCCAGACTGCTAGTTGCCGATCACACTGTCTGTCTATTTCTACCCCTCAGAGCAATACTGTCTGTACTCACAATGTCCCAGACTGCTAGTTGCCGGTCACACTGTCTGTCTATTTCTACCCCTCAGAGCAATACTGTCTGTACTCACAATGTCCCAGACTGCTAGTTGCCGGTCACACTGTCTGTCTATTTCTACCCTTCAGAGCAATACTGTCTGTACTCACAATGTCCCAGACTGCTAGTTGCCGGTCACACTGTCTGTCTATTTCTACCCCTCAGAGCAATACTGTCTGTACTCACAATGTCCCAGACTGCTAGTTGCCGATCACACTGTCTGTCTATTTCTACCCCTCAGAGCAATACTGTCTGTACTCACAATGTCCCAGACTGCTAGTTGCCGGTCACACTGTCTGTCTATTTCTACCCCTCAGAGCAATACTGTCTGTACTCACAATGTCCCAGACTGCTAGTTGCCGGTCACACTGTCTGTCTATTTCTACCCCTCAGAGCAATACTGTCTGTACTCACAATGTCCCAGACTGCTAGTTGCCGGTCACACTGTCTGTCTATTTCTACCCCTCAGAGCAATACTGTCTGTACTCACAATGTCCCAGACTGCTAGTTGCCGGTCACACTGTCTGTCTATTTCTACCCCTCAGAGCAATACTGTCTGTACTCACAATGTCCCAGACTGCTAGTTGCCGGTCACACTGTCTGTCTATTTCTACCCCTCAGAGCAATACTGTCTGTACTCACAATGTCCCAGACTGCTAGTTGCCGGTCACACTGTCTGTCTATTTCTACCCCTCAGAGCAATACTGTCTGTACTCACAATGTCCCAGACTGCTAGTTGCCGGTCACACTGTCTGTCTATTTCTACCCCTCAGAGCAATACTGTCTGTACTCACAATGTCCCAGACTGCTAGTTGCCGGTCACACTGTCTGTCTATTTCTACCCCTCAGAGCAATACTGTCTGTACTCACAATGTCCCAGACTGCTAGTTGCCGGTCACACTGTCTGTCTATTTCTACCCCTCAGAGCAATACTGTCTGTACTCACAATGTCCCAGACTGCTAGTTGCCGATCACACTGTCTGTCTATTTCTACCCCTCAGAGCAATACTGTCTGTACTCACAATGTCCCAGACTGCTAGTTGCCGGTCACACTGTCTGTCTATTTCTACCCCTCAGAGCAATACTGTCTGTACTCACAATGTCCCAGACTGCTAGTTGCCGGTCACACTGTCTGTCTATTTCTACCCCTCAGAGCAATACTGTCTGTACTCACAATGTCCCAGACTGCTAGTTGCCGATCACACTGTCTGTCTATTTCTACCCCTCAGAGCAATACTGTCTGTACTCACAATGTCCCAGACTGCTAGTTGCCGGTCACACTGTCTGTCTATTTCTACCCCTCAGAGCAATACTGTCTGTACTCACAATGTCCCAGACTGCTAGTTGCCGGTCACACTGTCTGTCTATTTCTACCCCTCAGAGCAATACTGTCTGTACTCACAATGTCCCAGACTGCTAGTTGCCGGTCACACTGGCGGGAGAAGCCGGTGGTGAGAAGCCTCATGGAGTCCTCCAGGAACGCCACCTTGGATGCCTTGTTGCCTACGTGACCCGTCGTCTCCTGCAAAACAATACACGGGTAGTGTGATTTTAACCAAGCGTCATAGGATTCTGACACGCCAAAGGGGCACAACTCTACACAGTAAATCGCTGGATTGAGAAGGCTGGATCACCCATGCCTTCAACACAAACTAACAACTAAGAACTTACTTTTCCCACTTTCGTTTTCAGTACAATCTCATTAAAATCAGATCTTAGTTCTTGCTACTGCTAAACAAAGATCTGAGGACATCCCATTACGGGTCATGTCAGACCAACCTTGTGTGAACTTTGACCGACCAATGGAATGACCAATCAGAAGGCAGCTTTCTCGTGCTTTACGGCACTAATTTCAAATTGGGGACTACGCTTCGAAACATATTTTGACAAATTCTCGATTACAAATTTGAAACCTGAACAAAAGAACATTCTGGAATGGTTAATAGATGGTCTTGATTGTATGGATTCAGTCGTTAAGCCCGTAACTATCGCTCGGAATATCCCGTGTTAATGTTTTTGAGGTTGTATGATTAGAAATCACATTCCGACTGTCACTTTCATGATCTGGTAAGTGACGCTCTGATTGGTCGGATGAAAGGTCCCTAATGGGATGTCCTCAGATCTTTGTTTAGCGGTAGCGAGAACTAAGGTCTGATTTTAATGAGATTGGTTTTCAGTATTGACTTGTGCAGTCAACAAACAAACTGTTCGTGTCATCATGATGCACATGCAGAAAACAAAAAAGCGTCAGGGACTGATAAAAAACATCCACAGCCGAGATGCAACATTGAAGCAGGCTTCCTGTGGCAAAAAAGCAACAGGTTCTTTTCTTTTCTTCAATATTCATATCTGTAGACTAGAAGGCTGCAACAGTTGTGCAGGCTAAACCAAATCAGAATCAGTCGTTCAACAAGCAGTTTTTGTAGAGCCTTCAGTGCAGATTGAATCATCTGGCAGCTCTGATTGGATGATTTTGCATAAGATTTTTATGTTTTTTAAATGTAATATCCATTCAGTAATTAAAACTGACCATGTTTTTCTATATTTAATGCTGTCTTTTTTAACATGATGACTTATGCTGAATGTGGCCAGAGAATTTTTCAAACAAGTGACATTTGGTGTGGAACTGGGGTGGGTTTGTTTAGCTTCCTGTACTCAGAAAAGGAGCTGGCTAAGGTAGTCAGTTTTTGTGTGTGTATTGCTGCTCTAAGGCCAGACTGTGCACATATCTACAGGTAATAGTTGTTAAATGCTTAGTGATTTATAAAAAAAAATATAACATTACTATAGAAGTCTACAGGAAATGCCTTGGTTAGATGTAGCCTGCATATTTGAGAGTAGCTCTGACAGAGAGTTTTCTCATTGATTTGTTTGCTAAGATCAGAATTTTGGACTCTTGTCAGAGTGTTGTGGAAGGAAAGACAAAATTGAAGCAGATCTTAGACATTTACCAGTTTGTGGAAACCCACAAGCATGGGCATAGTGCTGACAAACCTAGAAACATTATCAGGAAGAATCAGGCAAATGAGAATACAATAATAATTTCTGGTATGCTTAAGGGACGCAACTCTGCACGCCTAAGGGACATAACTCTGCACGCCTAAGGGACATAACTCTGGACATCTAAGGGACATAACTCTGCACGCCTAAGGGACATAACTCTGCACGGCTAAGGGACGCAACTCTGCACAGCTAATTGCTGCTCCTCCGCTGACTGGGCCACCTGTGCCTGCCTGATTGGGAATGACACTCGAGGAATGAAAGTGAGCTTACCGCGATGACATTGGTTGACCTTGGGTCTATGACACGCAGTTTCTTGTCTTTGGAGGTTGTGGCGAACATGGATCCCTCCCTGCTCCAAGCGATGGAGAAGATGGTGTCTGTGTGACAACCAATCACATTCACAGGCTCCGCCTGCTCCACATTCCAGATGAAACACTGTGGAGGACAAACAATCAAGGTCAAGGTCAAGGTCACCCGCAGTCATTTTGCCTGAGACAAAACAGAACATTTTCATGATATTATCAACTCTTGATGGCATTCTTTTATACCATAACCAAATATGAAAAATAATCTTCAGAACATTTTGAATGACAAAAGGTCAATGTCATGGAAGTCAACTAATCTGAAACTTTTTTTTTCTTTTATTGTTTTTAAAAAGAAGTACCTGTTACATAAAATGGGCTTCCTCCCAGGGTAGCAGAAAGCCCATGACATGGATCACAACTTATCAGTTCATCTTAGTTTTTTTTACAGAAAATAACACACTTCCCACTCACACATTCACTCTAGTAATATGAAAATACTGCAAATATCAAGTATATACTATTAAAGTTTATATATCATATCGAGTGCAGGAAAGTACATGATCTCAAACATTAAAGTCTTAAGTATAAAACTAAAATTAAAATGAAAGCTGATCTGGGACTAAAAAAACAAATGACTTCACACAAAGTGACCAACCAGATTTTCATTCCTTTTAAAAAGTCACGCCCCCCCCTCCCTCCAAGAGAATATCAACTGGTCGGTCCCCAACATGTTCTTAGAATGTCTCTGCTACGTGTATGACATTCTTGTTATAACATATAGATCTTCTTACAGAGGAATCTCAATTTTTCTAACCAAAAGAAATAAATTCAAATTCTACCACACACATGCATATCATTGAAGAGTGAGTGAGTATGTTTTTATGCCGCTTTTAGCAATATTCCAGAAATATCACGGCGGGGGACACCAGAAATGGGCTTCACACATTGTACCCATGTCAGGAATCGAACCCGGGTCTTCAGCGTGACGAGCGAATGCTTTAACCTCTAGGCTACCCTACTGCCCCTGATCATTGAAGAAATATGGGAATAACTGAGAATAGTTTCAGGGTTTCAAAATCAAGTGAAATTTTACCATTAGGTGGATTGCCAAAATGTAGCAGATCATATTTGTGGGCGACTGAAAACAGAAATTCCTTGCTAACCCTGGAGAGAGATGAATGTTCACCAGAGTCAGCAATATTCCAGCTGTATGATGGCATGTAAATCATCGAATCTGGACCAGACAATCCAGTGATCCATATTATGAGTTGATAATTTCTGAATTTAACAATTTCATTTCGACTTCCTGTAAACAAGGTATGCATGATTTTGAAAAATGCAAAATACCGGTATATACCAAGTGTATACATATTCATTAGTACCGTAATAAGCGTGCCGGCTCTAATTAGCGATATTTGCTAATATATTGGCTAGTGAATAATCCCAGTTAGCAACCCTTGTGATTGATCAATGTACACAAGACAAATTTATTTGCATATAATATGTACTCGTGTGCTATATGCACCCATAATTATGGGCAATTAAATTCTGGAAAAATATATCTGTCATACATAAACTTTTCAGGATGTCAGCATAAACCACAAAATTTATCTTTCAACTCTGTTTTTTTTACCAAAATAATATTCTAAAAAGAACCCCTTATTTCTAATTTTGACAGTACCCTGGCCGCTTATTACGTCAAATACGGTATTTCAAATCCAGGTATACAGCATACCGTGCACCTCTATTGAATGGAAGCCATTGCCCGGGATGATGCTAGTAGCTTGTATTACCTTAAAGTCGTAGCCTGCAGACAGCAGTATGTTGGAGGCGGTGGGATGCCACTCGATGTAAGCGACCCGTCGCTGATGTCCGTGCAGATCCACCTGCCAATCGCTCAGGTTGGAGAAGAGACCTTCGTTGGGTATTTGCCAGATCTTCACCTTGAAACAAATCACCACGTTTACTTAGGCCTGATGAACAAACCTTTTCTTCGCCAGGCCACCAACTGGTAGATCCAGCAGTGCTTATAACTGTGTTAATGACATTGATCCCTAGAACATCACAAGCTGATCTTACAGTGGAGTCATCGGACCTCTAGACCTTAGTGTCTGTCTGTGTCTGACTACAGCACAAGCTGATTTTACAGTGGAGTCATCGGACCTCTAGACCTTAGTGTCTGTCTGTGTCTGAGTACATCACAAGCTGATCTTACAGTGGAGTCATCGGACCTCTAGACCTTAGTGTCTGTCTGTGTCCAAGTACATCACAAGCTGATCTTACAGTGGAGTCATCGGACCTCTAGACCATAGTGTCTATCTGTGTCTGACTACATCACAAGCTGATCTTACAGTGGAGTCATGGGACCTTTAGAACGTAGTGCCTGTTTGTGTTCGAGTACATCACAAGCTATTCAGTATTCTTACAGTGGAGATGTCGGACCTTGTGTCCAAGTACAACACAAGCTCTTCCTACATTGGAGTCATCGGACCTCTAGACACTAGTGTCTGTCCGTGTCCAAGTACAACATAAGCTCTTCCTACATTGGAGTCATCGGACCTCTAGACCTTAGTGTCTGTCCGTGTCCAAGTACAACACAAGCTCTTCCTACACTGGAGTCATCGGACCTCTAGACCTTAGTGTCTGTCTGTGTCCAAGTACAACACAAGCTCTTCCTACATTGGAGTCATCGGACCTCTAGACCTTAGTGTCTGTCTGTGTCCAAGTACAACATAAGCTCTTCCTACATTGGAGTCATCAGACCTCTAGACCTTAGTGTCTGTCCGTGTCCAAGTACAACACAAGCTCTTCCTACACTGGAGTCATCGGACCTCTAGACCTTAGTGTCTGTCTGTGTCCAAGTACAACACAAGCTCTTCCTACATTGGAGTCATCGGACCTCTAGACCTTAGTGTCTGTCTGTGTCCAAGTACAACACAAGCTCTTCCTACATTGGAGTCATCGGACCTCTAGACCTTAGTGTCTGTCTGTGTCCAAGTACAACACAAGCTCTTCCTACATTGGAGTCATCGGACCTCTAGACCTTAGTGTCTGTCTGTGTCCAAGTACAACACAAGCTCTTCCTACATTGGAGTCATCGGACTTCTAGACCTTAGTGGCTGTCTGTGTCAAAGTACAACACAAGCTCTTCCTATACCGGAGTCATCGGACCTCTAGAATTTAGTGTCTGTCTGTGTCCAAGTACAACACAAGCTCTTCCTACATTGGAGTCATCGGACCTCTAGACCTTAGTGGCTGTCTGTGTCCAAGTACAACACAACTTATTCCTACATTGGAGTCATCGGACTTCTAGACCTTAGTGGCTGTCTGTGTCAAAGTACAACACAAGCTATTCTTACTGTGGAGTCGTCTGACCCCGAGGCGATGACTTGGTTGTCGAAGGGGTTCCACTTTATGTCCAAGATGGCGCCAGAGTGGCCGCTGACCTTGGGGATGTTCATGTCCACTCGACCTCCCTGCAACAACACAATTATTAAGCATATAGGTTATTATCATATAGGTTATTACGTCAAATAATAACTGGCCAGGCAGAAATACATTTTGGTCTGCATGTTGTTGTACTCCAGCCAGCAATATGCCATTTACTAGCATTGTACACCATATTATCGTGGTAGTTAAGTTATAATGGATCGTAATGGCACACACCTACTAACCTATTAAAGTGAGTGAGTGAGTATGGTTTTACGCCGCTTTTAGCAATATTCCAGCAATATCACGGCGGGGGACACCAGAAATGGGCTTCAATCATCGTACCCATGTCGGGAATCGAACCCGCTAGGCTACCCGACCGCCCCTAACCAAAAATATATCATAGGTAAAATGAGACATCAGTTAGGATTGATCTATGCTAATTTTCTTTAAACAAAGTACCTGTCATTAGCGACTCAAGGGCGGGCAACTCTATATTATTGCAGTATCACTATTTAATGGTGTGACACGTGTTGAATATATGTTTTACATCACTTCATGTTTTTGATTATGCATAATCAGTATGCATACAGCCGAGGTTGGGTCAAGGGACATCGTCCAACCAATTGGGTTCTTTTCTGACCATTTTCGAATGGAGGTTGGGGTGATTCTACTTCAAAAACATCACAAAAACAATTATAAAAAAGTTAATGTGTTGCTGAAACTAGTCCTGTATTTGAACAAGCGATAAAATATCTTGCTTGGATTTGCATTGGTAAACAGCCGACAGGGTGTGTGGATTACCAGATTTACCAAAACCGCGATAATATAGAGGTCACGATACTTGAGAGCCTGCGATAATGGAGAGCCTGTAATAACATAGAGTCAGACAATACCATAGCATCTTGCCAGTAATCCTGTCTGGACCAGACACACCACTGACAGAACGCATGTGCAATAATCCATCAAAGCTCAATAACAAAATCCAAGCATGATCACATGTTACTAGTGTTTGTTTGTTGTTTTAACGCCGCACTCAGCAATATTCCAGCTATATGACGGCGGTCTGTAAATAATCAAGTCTGGACAAGACAGTCCAGTTATTGATATCATGAGCATCGATCCAATAGGGATACGATGACATGTATCAACCAAGTCAGCGAGCCTGACCACCTGATCCCGTTAGTCACCTCTTACGACAAGCATAGTCGTCTTTATGGCAAGCATGGGTTGCTGAAGACCTATTCTACCCTGGGTCTTCACAGGTCCATTTCTAGTGAGTCAGATCTGACAGGAAGCTGGTCCTGGTGATGCTCATGCCCTGTCTCCAGTGTCAAGTCAGTATTTGACATGAAAACACAATGCCATTTTGAAAGCGGTCAAAGGTGATAAATGTCATATTTGTGATAACACTTCCTTAGTAAAGTACAGATTCTCGTACTGTTTTTGGGTTGAGTTCTATCCGGGATTCGAAGCCACACTGCCAGAGTGAGGCACCTAATCGCCAGCACACAAAGTCGGTGGAAGCCTCGATGGCTGAGTGTGTTAGATCGCTGACCTTGTGTGCTGGCGATTAGTTGCCTCACCCCGGATGGGACTCAACCCAAAAACAGTACGAGAAACTGTGCTTTACTGTGTTATCCCAATTATGACATTTGTCAATATTTGACATGCTTGTATGTGTGTGTTTGATGTTGAACATAATGCTGAACCTAGCATTATTTCAGCTATTTGATGGCAGTCTGTATATAATCAAGTCTGGACCAGACAATCCAGTGATTAACATCATGAACATCAATATAAGCAATTGGGATATGATGACATGCATCAAACAAGTCAGAGAGCCACCCTATCTCTAATGAATATTTCAAACTTTGGATCAGTTCCCAAATTCAGAACTATGAAGCAGACTAGCATGTCAGACACTTCCACTTACCCTGGCAACACTTGGAAATTCATACCAGTCCGCTAGCCAAGGACTACTAAATTATCCCTAGGACAAGTAAAACTTCAATGATGGTAGTCCTCAGTAACTAGTAGCATTTGTGGGTTATAAATATATATACCAGGGTATTCTCAACCAGGTGTCAATGCTTCAATTTTGCTACAAATTGGAACTGAATTTTTTTTACAGTCAACATTTTTGTCTTATACAAGCAAGAAGAGCCACAAATTCTGAAGACTAATGAAATAGTCAACACTAGTCTCCTGGAGTAGTCTTTAAAAAGACAAATTTCTAGACTGCTTACCTGGAACCTGACAATCACCATGTGTTCAGACAAAGACCATAGACAGGTGACACACACCTGCAGTGATGTAGCAAGTGCACACAGCATGATGCTATCCCTAATTGTAGAAGAGGGAACCAACTTTTCCCTTTAATTCAAGACCTCTTGATTTATAGTTTCTTGACAAGGTTTATTTGCTTGTTAAACTTTAACACTATATTCAGCAATATTCAAGCTATATTACAGTGGCCTGTAAACAGTCAAATCTGGACCCGACAAACCAGTGATTGATATTATTAGCATCATGAATGTCAGAGGTGTCCAATGATTTGTTCAATGACATGCATCAACCAAGTCAGCAAGCCTGACCACCCATTCCCATTAGTCGCCTGTTACAGCAAGCATGGGTTGCTGAAGACCTTTTCTAACCCGAAATTCCCACTGGGGCAGTTGTGAATGGATCCAGGGTATTTATTCCAATAGATTTGGCGATATAACACACTAGATTAAGGAAGATGTCCCCAGGCGATCGTTCATGCAGTGCACTTGCCACCCTCACCTCCTCCTCCACTGGATGGCCTTGGTCTAAACTCACCTGATTGACAGGAAGTACGACGAAGGCTCCGCCCCCTGCATTCTCCGTGACGACAGCAATGTTCTTCGTGTTGACGGCACAGAAGCAACCATCGTGAGCGTTCTTTGTGATGCGAATATTTTCAAAACACATCTCCTTACGAAATGGTTTGCCGAAAACATGGCGGAACTTGGAGGACCGCATTCTGAAAGCCTGATGAAGCAAGAAAGTTGGGTCAAAGTCAACAAAGAACATGGGTCAAAGTCAACAAATGGCCATTCCATATTTCTCATATTCAATAAAGGCATTGTATATAAACAAGACATCTTTACATTAACCTGTAGCCAATTTTGTCCACAATATATTCATTTAGTGTACTGTATTTACATATTGCCATCAGTGTCTCCATATTTTTCATACAAGGTATTACATACACAAAGTATTTTGTCTGTTGTTCAACGCCACACTCAGCAATATTCCAGCTATATGACTGTGTATGTACATACTCGAGTCTGGACCACATACTCCAATGATTGACATCATGAGCATTGATCTACAAAATTGGGATACAATGACATGCATCAGCTAAGTCAGTGATCCTGATCACCTCTCCCGTTAGTTGTCTCTTATGACAAGCATGGGTTGCTGAAGACGAATACTAACCCGATAACACACAATCAACAAGATCCTTAGTCGCCTCTAAGGACAAGCAAAGGTTGCAGGGGATCTATTCTAAACCAGATACCCCACTGGGTTCTAAGTCCCTTTGACTAAGTAGCTTGAACCAATAAGAAGTTGTAGAGTTAAAAACTCTTTGTGTACATGGCCCTGGCATCATCAAATTGGTAAAATGTTAAAAGACACATATTATGTCCTGTACAATGTGAGTGAGATTAGGAGTGGTCTACCACCATCTTGGTGTTAATCTCCTCTGTGGAGGTTAGGGGTGTTGTACATGCAAGTTAATCTAGCCTAGGACATCACCAAGTGTCCTGTATCATGGCACAGGGAGATGTATGTACCATGATACATAGCACAGCATTGAGAGAGGTAACACTGTGTGATCCTGTGTTATAGGGATTATTGTGATGTGGTACAGGGGTACACATGTACCATGATACGGAACAGTACCGTGAGACAGGTAATGTAGTGCCTTCCTGTGTTAAAGAGATTATTGCGACATGGTACACTGATATACATATGTACCATGATACGTCACAGTACCATGAGACAGGTAATACAGTGCCTTCCTGTGTTAAAGAGATTTTTGTGACGTGGTACACAGATACACATATGTACCATGATACGTAACAGTACCGGGAGACAGGTAATGTAGTGTCTTTGTGTGTTAAAGAGATTATTGTGACGTGGTACACAGATACACATATGTACCATGATACGTAACAGTACAGTGAGACAGGTAATGTAGTGCCTTCCTGTGTTAAAGAGATTATTGCGACATGGTACACTGATATACATATGTACCATGATACGTCACAGTACCATGAGACAGGTAATACAGTGCCTTCCTGTGTTAAAGAGATTTTTGTGATGTGGTACACAGATACACATATGTACCATGATACGTAACAGTACCGGGAGACAGGTAATGTAGTGTCTTTGTGTGTTAAAGAGATTATTGTGACGTGGTACACAGATACACATATGTACCATGATACGTAACAGTACAGTGAGACAGGTAATATAGTGTCTTCCTGTGTTAAAGAGATTATTGTGACGTGGTACACAGATATACATATGTACCATGATATGTAGGACAGTGACCTACTGTGCTAAAGAGATTATTGTGATGTGGTATAGGATACACATATGTACCACGATACGTAGCACAGTGACCTACTGTGTTATGGGGGTCATATGACCACATCACGTCCAGAGGTTTCATAGTTTATTGGTCCAGACTTGGATCCACGATGAATCTCTAACATGTGGCATTATCTTATTTTTGTGGCTGGAATGACCCATTCCTTTGTAAACTGACATTCTTTTACATTTTCCCCCCTGAAACACATTTTACTATCTTTGCCCTGAAGCACCCTTTAAGTATCTTATCCCTTAAACACTCTTTTACTATTTTTGCCCTGAAACACATTTTACTATCTTTGCCCTGAAAACATTTTACTATTTTTGCCCTGAAACACACTTTAAGTATCTTATCTCTTTAACACTCTTTTACTATTTTTGCCCTGAAACACATTTTACTATCTTTGCCCTGAAACACATTTTACCATCTTTACCCTGAAACACATTTTACTATCTTTGCCCTGAAACACATTTTACCATCTTTGCCCTGAAACACATTTTACTATTTTTGCCCTGAAACACATTTTACTATCTTTGCCCTGAAACACATTTTACTATCTTTGCCCTGAAACACATTTTACCATCTTTGCCCTGAAACACATTTTACTATCTTTGCCCTGAAACACATTTTACTATCTTTGCCCTGAAACACATTTTACTATCTTTGCCCTGAAACTCATTTTACTATCTTTGCCCTTAGTAGGCCCTTTGATTCCCTTTACAGCTTTTTCTGAGCGGCGCCCATAACAATCTTTGCCCTTTGGCACCCTTTACTATCCTAAGAGGGTTTTTCAAGGGTTTGATTGTCATATGCTTACAAAATCACAGTCTCAATACGTTTCTGGCCAGGCCACAGAATGTTTTACAACACACTGGAAATATGCCACAGATCAGAGAATCTTCCACAGATTTGGGTCCCACTTCATGAAGCCATCTTAGCTTTATGATTGTCTTAAATCTTGTTAAAGTATAGACTAAAGACCATCTTAGCGCTAAGCTAAGCTACCTTTGTGGAATGGGTCCCTCGGTCCTGCCCTGGGGCCCGTTCCACAAAGTGATCTTAGCGCTAAGTCGATCGTAACCCCCATTCTTTAACACTGACTTACGACAATCGTAGCGCTAAGATCGCTTTGTGGAACGGGGCCCTGGACCCAAGTCTTACACACACAACACTACGGGGACTGTACAGGCCGTGTTAAAGGATTGATTATACAATTCCCATCATGCTGTGAGACAGACGTGGTGCTACCCTGGAATATAGGAGCTTGTTTTGCCATGGGACTTTACCTGAGTACTTGAACTGAAAATGACTTTCACCTGTTTCTTTACAAAGGCATTGAACATAGGAGTAGTTGTACTTAACAGTACCTTCATAAAGCAATGACATATCTTCGGTCAGCAGAGCCGACAATGTGATGGATGTTACCTATTTACCACCATCAGTATCTATTCTGTAACAAGATGGTCGAGAGGACGAGGGCACTGCAATTCACCTGTTTCTTTACAAAGACATCGAACATAGGAGTAGTTGTACTTAACAGTACCTTCATAAAGCAATGACATATCTTCGGTCAGCAGAGCCGACAATGTGATGGATATTACCTATTTACCACCATCAGTATCTATTCCGTAACAAGATGGTCGAGAGGACGAGGGCACTGCAATTCGTTCCGCGGAGTTGAGCCAGTCGTGCCAAAGGCTGATGATCATGGGTTTGAATCCCTGTTTGTTCTGACTGGACCAATTATACTCCAGAAATCCTATCCTAAAAAGTCTACTTGAACTCAAGAATTTTTTCAGTGTGTGTTTGTTATTTAACGCCACATTCAGCAATATTTCAGCTATACGACGGTGGTCTGTAGTTAGTGAGTGAGTATGGTTTTACGCCGCTTTTAGCAATATTCCAGCAATATCATGGCGGGGGACACCAGAAATGGGCTTCACACATTGTACCCATATCAGGAATCGATACCGGGTCTTCGGCATGACGAGCGAACGCTTTAACCACTAGGCTACCCGACCGCCCCCACGGCAGTCTGTAAATAATTGAATCTGGACCAGACAATCCAGTGATTGATATCATGAGCGATCTACACAATTGGGATACGACAACATGCATCAACCAAGTCAGATAGCCTGACCACCCAATCCCGTTAGTCGCCTCTTACGACAAGCATAGTCCCCTGTTACAGCAAGCATGGGTTGCTGAAAACCTATTCTATTCCGGATCTTCACGGGCTGTTAATCAGTAACTGTTATGAGCATTGATCCACACAGCAGGGGTTCGATGACACCAAGCCACCAGATCATCGCGCATGACCAACCGATCCATAAGTTTGCATCACATAACCACCACCGATTGCTGGTGAGCTTTTCTAACCCGGAATCCTCACAGTGCCTCAAGCTTAAGAAGATTAACAAGTATACTTTGCAAATTATCATTAATTACACTGACCATAAATATTATGTGCTTTCACATAAATTTGCAGGTATTATAGCCGGAGAATGTTGTTTGTAATCAACAGTGTAATCTAGAGGTCTCAAATATTAACATTGTGTAAACAAATAATGTTTATCTGGTGGAGGACCAACTCCCACTTGTCAAGCTGACAAATTGTCTCTGACCTCCTGTTAGTGACAAGGGCCTACAATATGACAGGAGGACTACTGATATCATCCTGTGCAACTCAACTCGAGCAGGTGATGTTGGTACAGCGTCCATGTGTGGAATGTGGCTGTCAGGGCTGCATACCACAAAGAGATCGTAGGTAAGGTGATTGTAACTTCCATACTTAAACATAGACTTACAACAGTCGTGATGCTGAGGTGATCGCAACACCCATACTTAAACAAAGACTTACGACAGTCATAGCGCTAAGGTGATTGTAACACCCATACTTAAACAAAGACTTACGACAGTCGTGATGCTGAGGTGATCGCAACACCCATACTTAAACAAAGACTTACGACAGTCATAGCGCTAAGGTGATTGTAACTCCCATACTTAAACAAAGACTTACGACAGTTGTAGCGCTAAGGTGATTGTAACACCCATACTTAAACAAAGACTTACGACAGTCGTAGCGCTAAGGTGATTGTAACTCCCATACTTAAACAAAGACTTACGACAGTCGTAGCGCTAAGGTGATTGTAACACCCATACTTTAACAGATTTACAACCATTGTGGCGCTGAGGTGATCGTAACTCCCATACTTAAACAAAGACTTACGACAGTCGTTGTGCTTGATCACTTTGTGGAACTGGCCCTGACCAATGACACTCCACTGACTTACTTCTGAAGAAGGAAGGGTTGTCAGGATTCACTGATGAATAGGTGGGAATACACACCTGACAAATCAAGGTGAATCGATACGATGGGGTTGGGATA